GCCCCAGTGGCTGCGCCCGCATGCGGTTCCACCCCCCATTCTGGCACACCCCTCACACGTTTCGTGGCCCCATAGGGAGCTCCACCGAAGGCCCCAGTGGCTGCGCCCGCATGCGGTTCCACCCCCCATTCTGGCACACCCCTCACACGTTTCGTGGCCCCATAGGGAGCTCCACCGAAGGCCCCAGTGGCTGCGCCCGCATGCGGTTCCACCCCCCATTCTGGCACACCCCTCACACGTTTCGTGGCCCCATAGGGAGCTCCACCGAAGGCCCCAGTGGCTGCGCCCGCATGCGGTTCCACCCCCCATTCTGGCACACCCCTCACACGTTTCGTGGCCCCATAGGGAGCTCCACCGAAGGCCCCAGTGGCTGCGCCCGCATGCGGTTCCACCCCCCATTCTGGCACACCCCTCACACGTTTCGTGGCCCCATAGGGAGCTCCACCGAAGGCCCCAGTGGCTGCGCCCGCATGCGGTTCCACCCCCCATTCTGGCACACCCCTCACACGTTTCGTGGCCCCATAGGGAGCTCCACCGAAGGCCCCAGTGGCTGCGCCCGCATGCGGTTCCACCCCCCATTCTGGCACACCCCTCACACGTTTCGTGGCCCCATAGGGAGCTCCACCGAAGGCCCCAGTGGCTGCGCCCGCATGCGGTTCCACCCCCCATTCTGGCACACCCCTCACACGTTTCGTGGCCCCATAGGGAGCTCCACCGAAGGCCCCAGTGGCTGCGCCCGCATGCGGTTCCACCCCCCATTCTGGCACACCCCTCACACGTTTCGTGGCCCCATAGGGAGCTCCACCGAAGGCCCCAGTGGCTGCGCCCGCATGCGGTTCCACCCCCATTCTGGCACACCCCTCACACGTTTCGTGGCCCCATAGGGAGCTCCACCGAAGGCCCCAGTGGCTGCGGCATGCGCCCGCATCACACGCGGTTCCAAGGGCACACCCCTCACACGTTTCGTGGCCCCATAGGGAGCTCCACCGAAGGCCCCAGTGGCTGCGCCCGCATGCGGTTCCACCCCCCATTCTGGCACACCCCTCACACGTTTCGTGGCCCCATAGGGAGCTCCACCGAACGCCCCAGTGGCTGCGCTCGCATGCGGTTCCCCCCCCATTTCGGCACACCCCTCACTCGTTTCGTGGCCCGGTGGCGCCACCGAGGAATATATCCACAATTGCGGTATTCACAACTACGTATGGTTGGGTCTTTCGTCAGGCTAATGTTTATGCAGTTGTTTCTTTCTCTATTTTCCTGAACGCGCAACCCTCCTTCGGTTGCCCCTCATCGGCCCATGCTCGGTGGTAATCAGCTTACCCAGCAATCCAGCGTTTCGTTTTCTCTGAGACACGCGCCCCCGACCTCTCGACCATTTCTCCGAGACCGTTTTGTCATTCCGAGCCGTTTTTGTTGTGCCAGTCCCGAGGCTTGGTAAGGGCCCTGAGAGGTCGAAAACGATGAAAGAACGCCGTCTCGATTTTTTTGCGAGACGCCAGATGTTCGAGAATCAGCTTAGCGCAGCCCGCTAACGCCCTCGCTGGGTTGAACCAACTGGCCGCGACGTAAAGAAAGCGTGCCAGGCCCCCTGAGACCAGGACAAAGACTAACCAGGACATTGGCAGGTTGGGGGGGGGGAACGACGCCCTTTCCTGCAGAGTCAGATTTGGTCGTCCCGTGCATGTTTATTGGGGTTGCTTTGCAAGGTTCAGGTCTTTGTTCAGATCTAGGGGGGGCGGGCAGGCTTGTCTTGTGTCCGGGTATATTCCGGGAGTGTTGCGGTTTTTGTCGTGCCGCCGTCTGGCAAAAGTTGGCTTCGATGGGGTGGGCCGCAGCAGCGCGACAGTGCGCGCCGCCACGCTGGTCCTGCGCGGGCTGTGCTGCCAGGGCGGGGGGCGGGGCAAGAGGAGGGGAGCAGCAGGCAGACGACGACGAACGCGCAGGCGGGAGCTCAGGGCCGGCGGGGCAGGCGGGCAGGCGGCAGAGGGGCCGGACAGGGGCAGCAGGCAGGGAGCAGGAGGAAACGGAGGGAGGCAAGGACCCAGACCCCGGGCGTCGTGCTTTTTTCATGGCGTCGACCCGCAGAGGCTTCGACCTATTCCCCGGGGCCGGCGCTTCATCCTGCGTCGTTTTTTGACGGTCCCGAGGCCAGGTAAGGGCCCCTGAGGCCGAACACTGTGAAAACTTCCCGTCGTGACTTTTTCATTGCTCGAGGGGGTCTGGGAAAGGGGAAGCAGCCGCATGGTCCTGGCCTTGCGTGTCTGGGCTTACGGGGCCCTCAGCATGGGCGGCGGGGTGCCGCTTTAAGGCACGGTGGTTCGGACCTGCGAGTTAGGCACGCGGGTGGCGCAGAGAGCGGCCGGCCCCAGCTGGACGGCGAGACGGGGCGAATGTTATCGAGGATGAAAAATCCTTATCCCAAACCCAGGCCCCCTCGAGTAGTGACACAAATCACGACGGGAGGTTTTTCAAAATTTTCGGCCTCGGGGGGCCCGTGCCGGGCCGCAGGACCGTCAAACAACGACTCGGCATGAGAAACCAGTCCCCGGGAATAGGTCGAAGCCTCTGAGTGTCGACGCCATGAAAAGATCATGACGTCGGGGTCTGGGAATAGCACCGTGAAGATTCATCACCCCGTCGCTGCATTCGGGATAGGAGCATCTGGGCAGTGTGCTTCGATGCTTCCGCAGGACCCCCCCCCTAACCCTAGCCCCCCCTTCTCTCCCTAATATTTCTGGCCCTCCTGAGTGGGGTCCTCTCCCAAAGGGCCAGGGGCCAGTGAGCTGCTGATCAGACGGGGGGATGGCGGGCCTCACCGCCGCCCGACCCTTTTTTTCGAAGAGTGCCGCGCCCGCGGCCCAGCAGCCCAGGCCCCCGCGAGGCGGGGAACAAAAGGGAGGACGGGCAGTCTTTCTGCATTTTGGCCTCCAGGGGCCCTCACCGGGCCTCGGTCGGGACAGTTTAAAAAGTGACTGGGGTCGGGGGCGGCCGAGGGGGGGGTGATGACGAAGGGGGGGCAAATATCACGGCGGGGGCCATGATATCTCCCCAGATGTCATGGCGCCTCTTTTTATTTCAATGCGTATGTCACTTTCGCCACAGCGCAGACACGCTTCGTGACCCCGTGAGGAAGGAGCCTCGCATACGCCTTCAGTTGGCCAGTCCGCTCACCGCGGCGCCCCAATTTCGGCGCCCCCTTCACGCGTGTCGTGCCCCATTCGGGGCTCCACCCAATTAAGGCCTCTGCGCCAGTTCGCATTCCGCGGTGCGCTGATGTCGGCACACCCATGACACGCTTCGTCACTGCATAGGGAGCCTCATCTCTGCCTTCAGTGACCGCGGCGTGCCCACGTTGGCACACCAAACGCGCGGGTGACGATTTCGGCATACCCCCACACGGATTGTGCGCCATAGGGGTCTCCACTTACGCCCCAGAGGGAGCGTTCACATGCCGCGGCGCGCCCATCTCGGTACACCCCTCTCACGGATCGTTCCTCACAGGGGGGTTCATTTACGGTACCAGTGAAGGTGCTCGCATACGGGCCCATGCCCTTTCCAGCGCACCGCTCGCGCGGATCGTGCCCCTCCCTCAGCTCCACCTGCGGCATCAATGGATGCGTTCGTTCGCGTTGGGGGCTCCGCCCCATTCGCCCCCCCCCTCAAGCAGATAACTTCCTGCAGGGAGTTCCGCGCGCCCACGCGCGGTCGCTCCGCAGCTCCATCTTCGCATTGTTCCACAGCGTGCTGTATATAAAGAGAGGGCTAGCACCCCTCGCCGGGAAAACTGGTAAGTCTCCCTTGGTGCCTTGCTGGGGACGCCAGCGTCTTCATTTTGATGTCGACGGCACACTTTCGAAAACGCAATGGTTTACATTGTGCTGTGAGGGCCCCACTTCGACCCCTCCCCGCGCATGGACTTCTGAGGTAAGAAGAGGGCGCCCGAAGGTGCTCAAGTCCTTTTGCAGAAATTGCCCCCTGGTGGCCTCTCAGGGCCTCACGCGCACCACCCCTTGCCACTTTGTATTGTAATTTGAATCAGCGGACGTGCCAGAGGGCGTCCAAAGGCACATGTTTGGGGGCGTTCCAGCGTGTCGAGGGACGTACTTCTGCGCGCGTGGGGGGACTTACCAGGGAACGTGACAGGGGCCGTGTCAGGGGTCGTGTGAGGAGGCGTGCTTGGGGACGTGGTTGGGGGCGTGTCTGGGGACGTGCCAGGGAGCGTTTCTGGGGGCGTCTTCAAGACGTGTGACGAGATGTGCGGGGTGACGCGCCTGGGGACGTGTCGGAGAGCTCGTCTAGGGATGTCTCGCCATTCACGGTGGATCCACAAATCGGATGCGCAGTTGGGGTAGTTCTGTTGGTTTGGCGCAAGCAGCGGATTTGCCGTTCTTCGCCATGTTCGAAGGCAGGTTGTGCATCCGATCCAGGCAAAGCGAATGTCATGTTCTGCATGTTTGGCGTTTTTGGTGCACGTTTTCTCGCAACATCATACCAACTGTTCTGTGGCCCCGATCATGTCGCGAACAGATGGTCACATGTCTGGTCAGGTACGCAGGCGATGTCCACCAATTATTTTGGCGCTCCTTCCATGTCAAGGAGGGTGGTGGTATGGAATCACTAAGCACGCCATTAGTGACGCCATCCTCCTCCATGTTGTTGTGGCTCTCCCATGACGTGTTCGCATGGTCACCAGTGCTCGAGATCGTGAGACGTAAGGACGACTTCGAGGTCTCGAGGTCTTCGTCAGTTTCCAGAGCGAAACGCATCCCCATCTACACTTCTGCATAGTTTGAAGTCGTATTCTGAAATAGTGTGGCTCGCTCGTCTTGTCCTAATCCACTGTGCATGGCCGTCTGAGCTGTTTTGCCATCTGTTGCGCTGCGCTTCCACACGCTCCGCATGTCTGTATGAATTCGAAACGAACGTATGAATTCGCTGCTGAGGGCCCTAAGTGGTTCTAGCGTGGACCTCTCGTCCAGCGTACTGTTGTGCACAAAGTGATGGGTGCGCCCGTGGCGCAGCGTGCCCCTTCTGTGGGACATTCGCGGCAGCCTCAGCCGTGGGCCAGCAACGATCAGGTCTGCGTGGCACGGCCACTCGACACGTTCGACAGCCTCGTCGTTGTGACCGAGGACGCCTGCGGCACGCCACACCGCCGCTGCCCGACGGTGCCATGCCAAAGGAAGGAAGGGCGCAAGCGCCGCAGCGCTGCAGAGTGGGCACCGCTGCTGCGCTTTCACGGGTGCTGCGCTGCTATTGGAGGCGCTCCAGACAGGGCCTTGCCTTCGCGGATGGATGGAGCTGTCATCTCTTCCGCGGCGGAAGGGCGGCGGCAGGTCGGCGCAAGGTAAGACGAGGCCGCCTCCGCCGGCGGAAGCTCGGCGGAAGCCGGCGGACATAGAAAATGGGCCTCCAAGAGATGAACTCGTTGTTGGGTGCAGGGTTTTCGGAACCGGACATGTGGTGGGACGGGGTGGGGCACCCTGGAGGTGTGCGCGCACAACCGCCGGAGCGGGGCACGCCCGTGGTGCCCGTGGACTCTGCTGCCCTGCCGCGGCAGGTCGAAGCTTGTTCGCACGTGTCGTGCGCGGATCTCGCGCTGCTCCTATTGGGACCCTCTGGGCGAACTGGAGGCTCGTCTGGCCCTCAAGTGGGACCTTGGGGGCGTGTTGGGGCCCTCTCCGGCGCCTTGTCGCGTCTTGTCGGGGTTCTGGGGGCCGCCTCGGACGCGATGGTGCTGCCGCGCTCTCCCGACGAGGCTCAGTCGAGCCATTGTCGGGCTACTAGGGCGGATCCTGGGGCCGTCTTGGGGCACTCTTTGAGCGTTCTTGGGCCCCGTCTTGGGGGGTTGTCGGGCTGTTTTGGCACCGTCTTGGTATTGGTAGTTCGTTGCGGGCCTCGTGGATTCCTGGACGCCTTCCCGAGGCCATCTGAATGCGACAGGCCCCCGGAAGCAAAAATCATCCAAGATGGTCTTTCCCTTCTGTGTTGTTCGGCCCACTTCGCACGACTCCTGCTGGAACCTGCGGTCGATGCACCACGCGTGAAGCGCTGCATGTTCGGAGCGCGGTGCCCTTCTTCTCCATCCTGCGCGGCCTCTTTCGTCTCTTCCAATTCTTTTGGTGCGCAAATCGCCATGCCGCGCCCTGGCTCTTGCTGCCCGACGCTTCTGGTCCCACGCCTCCGCTAAGAACAAGTTGTTTGGCCTCACGTTCCCGTCCGTACTTGCCGTTCGCATGCCCATCCTGGCACACCTTCGCCACGGACCACGCCCCACAGGGGAGCTTCACCTGTTACGGCCCCAGAGGCAAGTCCGCATGCCGCGGCTCGCCCATTTTGGCTTATTCCCGCACGCCCATTACACGGATCTTGCCCTGTGGAGGCCCCACCTACGGCCCCAGAGGCAAAGCCCGCATGCCGTGTCGTGCTTGTTTCTGTGTACACCCCTCACGCGGATCGTGCCCCACAGGGAGGGCCGCCTATTTCGGCACCAGATGGAGAATCCGTATTCCGCGGCGCGCCCGGTTCGGCACAGCCCGCAGACACTTCGCCACCCCAGAGGAAGTACCACCTCTGGTCTTTGCGGCGGCGGCGCGCCCATGTCAGCACACCAATGACAGGGTTGCTCCACCTGCAGCCTCAGTGGGCCAGTTCGCATGCCGCGCCGAGCCAATTTCGGCACACCCCTCACACGGATCGCGCCCCGCAGGGAGCTCCACCTACGGTCCCACTGGCGGCAAGGTCCGCATGCCGCGGCGCGCCCAGTCTGGCACACCCATCACACGGATCCTGCCTCACGGCGTATTCGGCGTGTTTCTGCGCGCTGGTTCTGCAGCCCTTTATCCGCGGCGCGGAGTGTATGAAGAGAGGGTCACGCTCCCAGCCACACGCAGCTGCATAGGGGTGGGCCCACCGCCAGGCTGATTGTTCTGGGCCTCCGAGGGCCTCGCAGGAGGCCTCGTCGAGTGTCCACTGGAAGCTTCTTTGATTTCATCCTGGTGTCTCTGGGGCATGTTGGTATGTTTGAGTCTCCGGGGCTCGCTGGGCCCTCTTGGGCTGGGTTTTAGGCAGGCTGCCTCGTTTGGGCACGATCTTGGGCACCCCTGGGTCCATCCTGGGGCCTCTCGAGCGGTCCTGGAGCCGCCAGAAGTGTCTGGAAGTTTCGGCGTGCGTCGGAAGAGTCGGACCTCACTGAATAGACTGGGAGTGTATGACTTGTTTGGGCGCTGCCAGGCCTCCCTGGAAGACAAAAGAAACCAGGCAGGAATGGTCAGCGACAGCGGAAAGGATAATGTACAGAAGACGCGAGGCACCAGTATGACAGCAGTAAATCAAGCAATTTCACAGCCCGGTATCCCCAGAGGTGGGCCAGCCGGTGCCAACCCATGTTACGCGGCTTGTGCCGACTAATACCCTCTGATGCCATTCTAGTATGTTCTTTTATGTGGCGTTGGCCGCTTCATACCCCATATTGAGTAGAGTACACAAGGTTGTTTAGATCCTCGGCGTGCCATTTTGGGTACGATCTACAGGCGGACCATAATGTTGCCAGTCGGGCGGGGTGGTTGACCCTCCCAGCTGGGTTCATACAGCCCTCCCTGCGTGTCTAGAGGAGCGGCCAGACAGGACCACGATTGGACAGATTCTGACGCTCCAGGTGATAGAAAAGGCGCGAGCGTTTCGTGAATCGTTGCCCCTGCAGTTGACTGCAAGCAGCGGTGGTAGATTTGATGTTCATGCTTGTTTCTTGGCGAACTTGAACTTTCAGGTGTGTACATACGTACATATGCCATGCCGTGCCCGAGTTTGTATCTATCCTCGGAATGTGCGAACTGGGTTGCCGTGTGAATCGGCGTCATGCCGTTCTCGATGAAAGCAATGCGCATACCATTCTTGTGATCCCCCTGGAAGGGAGGAGTTCGGCCACTGGTCGTCCCGAGTGCGCAGCACACGCCCCGCGCTGACCTCCGCTTCTCAGGGGGGGCTGGAGGCTGGACCTCCCCCCCAGCCTCTCGGCGGGGCCCCGCCTCGCGGCTTCATCCTCGGGCCCGAGGAGACGGGGTCGGAGGATCATCGCGCCGCTTCGCTGATGCATCGCGGATGCATCGGCGATGCGGCTCGGTGTGGAGCCCGATTTTCTCCACGCCGACGTCGCCCAATTATACATCGCCGACGTCGCCGATGCATCGCCGAAGCAGCGGCCATACATCGGCGATGCAGCGCAACTGCTCGGACCCCATCCAGGAGGTCTTTGCTTGCCAGGCCTCGGGACCTCAAAACAGAGGGATGAACAAAACTGACTTGGACACGCGGTCGAGAGGTCGGGGGCCCGCGTCTTGAAAACATCGAGACGCCGGATGCCGGATGTTCGGGGACCCCCCCGCCTGTGCACCAGGATGGTTGTTGATGCACGTTGCGTCGAGTCGTTGTGTTGGCAGGACGTTGGCCGGGAGGGCAGGTGGGGTCGCGATTGCAGGCCCGATGGCAAGGACCACGATTGCGCCCACTGTGGTGCACATGACGCATGGGGCCAAGCGCTTGAGCGACGGAGCGAGCAAATGGAAGCTGGATGCACGCGACGCGTCCGGCTTGGGCGAGAGTTGGGCACACGCAAGGAGCTCCAGAAAGGGCGTTGCCTTCGAGCGATCGAGGGGCTGGGATCTCTTCCCCGGCGGGAGGCAGCGGGAGATCGGCGGAAGAAGGACATGGAGGCGGGTCCGCCGACGGAGTACTCCGGCGGAAGGCGGCGGAAGCAAGACCGTCTCGTCGTGCTACACCTTCAGAGGAGGGTTCGTTCGACTACAAGATCATGGTTTGGGTCTATTCTCGCCGACTTGTCATCCCTGTCTCAGTGCCCCCTCCAGGCTCCAGCACAATCCGAAGTGTCTAGGTATTCTGTGCCGTGGCATTGTGTGCCTAGGCATGCTGTGATTTAGTGCTGCGCCGCGAACGCGGTTGTTTCTCCATCGAGCCCCTCGCAAGACATCCAGCCGAACCTTGCAGGCCGCGAAGCAGAGAGACAGGCGGTGACATGGAGGCGGCCCCGCCAGCGGAGAGCGCGGCGGAAGTGCGAGCGTGTCGTCGACGCTCTTGGTCAGGAGAGGAAAAACACACAGACACAATTAATCCTCGATTCCCCTTGAAAATATGGGAACATATGGGAAGTGGGGGGGAAGCTAGAAACCCAGAACATATGGGAAAATATGGGGGAAACTTTTTATCTGTGTGCATTTATGTGTGTGTCCTGGGGCCCCTTCACTTGGGTTCCCTGCACTCCCCGAGCCGCCCACGCGACGCGGCTGGCCCCGGCGAAGGCGGGGCACGCGGGAGGCCACCTCTCTCTGCGGCGCCCGGCCCGCCGTGTGGCCGTGCCGGCCGGGCCAGCGCACGGCTCGCGCAACGGGAGATTTGCAAACAGGAGGAGGAGGAGGAGGAGGAGGAGGAGGAGGAGGGCAAGGAGGAGGAGGAGGAAGAGGAGGAGGAAGAGGAGGAGAAGGAGGAGGAGGAGGGGGAGGAGGAAGACAAGTTAGGTGCGCTCGCGTCAACATCTGACATCCTACCCCTCCCTCCCATCCCTTACCATGGCGCAGATTTTCTCTATCCGCGGACGCGTGTCGTAGCGGACCTGTGGCTCCGCGCGCGTGTGCGTAGTGGGTGGTGGTGCGCGTGCGTGCGTGCGTGTGTGCGTGGTTGTGGTTGTGGTGGTGGTGTGTATGTGTGTGTGTGTGTGTGCGTGTGTGCGCGTGTGCTGTGGTGTGACGTCGTGTGGCGTCTTGGTGGTCTGGTGGTGGACCAGGTGCGTACGTGCGTGATGGCGGTGGTGGTGGTGGTGGTGGTGGCGGTGGTAGTGTGTGTGTGCGTGTGTCTGCGTGTGTGTGCGTGTGTGTGTGTGTGTGTGTGTGCGCGTGTGTGTGTGTGTGTGTGTGCGTGCGTGCGTGCGTGCGTGCGTGCGTGCGTGCGTGCGTGCGTGCGTGCGTGCGTGCGTGCGTGCGTGCGTGCGTGCGTGCGTGCGTGCGTGCGTGCGTGCGTGCGTGCGTGTCTGTGTGTGCGCGCGTGTGATGTGGTGTGACGCGGTGTAGCGTGGTGGTGGTGGGTGGGGTAGTGCGGTGGTGGTGGCGGTGCGCGGTGGTGATGCGCGTGCGTGCGTGCGTGCGTTGGTGGGTGGAAGTGGCGGTGGGTGTGCGTGCGGCGGGGCGGGGCGTGGTGCGGCGCGGTGGTGGCGGGCGGATGGGCGCGCGAGAAAGAGGCCCGCGCTGGGGCGAGAAGGCCATCCTGAACGACGGAGGCAAAACACCGATCCGAAAATGAGGCCCACGCTGCAGCGGGATCACGATTCGGAACGATTCGGGAGCAGAAATGAGGCCGGCGCCTCAGCGAGAGCAGCATTTTGACAAAACAACGCAGGCGAAAACCCAACTCCCGGGAATCCTGTGTAGAAAATTATGCTACCGGAGTTCCCCACATAAAGATGTTACGGGGTTCCATTGCTTCTTGTCTGCGCTCTGGTGGGGCCTCCCTGGAGGGGTGCCAGGGGCGCGAAACCTGATAAATAACATGGTGTGCGAATACCCTGCTCGCTCAGGTGGGGCCTCCCTGGAGGGGTGGGAGGGGCACGAAACCTGATAAATAATATGGTGTACGGATACCATGCCCGCTCTGGTGGGGCCTCCCTGGAGGGGTGGGAGGGGCGCGAAACCTGATAAATAACATGGTGTGCGAATACCCTGCCCGCTCTGGTGGGCCCTCCCTGGAGGGGCGGGAACGGCACGAAACCTGATAATAAAATATGGAGTGCGAATGCCCTGCCCGCTCTGGCGGGGCCTCCCTGGAGTGGCGGGAGGGGCACGAAACCTGATAAATAATATGGTGTGCGAATGCCCTGCCCGCTCTGGTGGGGCCTCCCTGGAGGGGTGGGAGGGGCACGAAACCTGATAAATCATATGGTGTGCGAGTACCCTACCCGCTCTGGCGGGGCCTCCCTGGAATGTTGGGAGGGGCGCGAAACCTGATAAATAACATGGTGGGCGGATACCCTGCCCGCTCTGGCGGGGCCTCCCTGGAGGGGTGGAGGGGCACGAAACCTGATAAATAACATGGTGTGCGAATACCCTGCTCGCTCAGGCGGGGCCTCCCTGGAGGGGTGGGAGGGGCACGAAACCTGATAAATAACATGGTGTGCGAATACCCTGCTCGCTCAGGCGGGGCCTCCCTGGAGGGGTGGGAGGGGCACGAAACCTGATAAATAACATGGTGTGCGAATACCCTGCTCGCTCAGGCGGGGCCTCCCTGGAGGGGTGGGAGGGGCACGAAACCTGATAAATAACATGGTGTGCGAATACCCTGCTCGCTCAGGCGGGGCCTCCCTGGAGGGGTGGGAGGGGCACGAAACCTGATACATAACATGGTGTGCGAATACCCTGCTCGCTCAGGCGGGGCCCCCCTGGAGGGGTGGGAGGGGCACGAAACCTGATAAATAACATGGTGTGCGAATACCCTGCCGCTCAGGCGGGTCCTCCCTGGAGGGGTGGGAGGGGCACGAAACCTGATAAATAACATGGTGTGCGAATACCCTGCTCGCTCAGGCGGGGCCTCCCTGGAGGGGTGGGAGGGGCACGAAACCCTATAAATAACATGGTGTGCGAATACCCTGCTCGCTCAGGCGGGGCCTCCCTGGAGGGGTGGGAGGGGCACGAAACCTGATAAATAACATGGTGTGCGGCTCGGGGCCTCCCTGGAGGGGTGGGAGGGGCACGAAACCTGATAAATAATATGGTGTGCGAATACCCTGCTCGCTCAGGCGGGGCCTCCCTGGAGGGGTGGGAGGGGCACGAAACCTGATAAATAACATGGTGTGCGAATACCCTGCTCGCTCAGGCGGGGCCTCCCTGGAGGGGTGGGAGGGGCGCGAAACCTGATAAATAACATGGTGTGCGAATACCCTGCTCGCTCAGGCGGGGCCTCCCTGGAGGGGTGGGAGGGGCACGAAACCTGATAAATAACATGGTGTGAGGAAAGGCATGGTATGGTATGGGATGGTGGATGCATGGTATGGTATGGTAAGGTATGGTATGGAGTGGCATGGTATTGGTATGGTATGATACAGTATGGGATGGTGGAGGAAGCGGAGGAGGAGGAGGAGGAGGAGGAGGAGGAGGAGGAGGAGGAGGAGGAGAGGATGTTCTGGGAAAACAAGAACCCCACTCAGGATGTGGGGAACAATACGCGGGGGGGGGGTCAACTACTTTCAGGCCGCCTTCGGGGGAAGAGGGAGAGTATTATTCATATTGAGTAA